GAGATGATCCCGGTAAGCATCGTACATTCCGTCCAACTCCAACTCCAAGCCTTGCAGTTTTCTCTCCCTCTCCTCATCGGAATCTAAGGCGTCGGGCTCATCGCCACTATTCTGTCCAGCGTCACTGTCGTTATCATCACTTCCTTCACCATTAGCAAAAAGACCCCGTCGCCGTCGAGATTTTCAGTGGTTTCCAAATCGAAGACATCCTCTGGCCAACGCCAAGAGAGGCGTCTTGTTGGTCCAAACCAATGTCTAGAGGAGCAGTCATTTGAAGCTGCATCCGTTGTAGAGTTCGAGTGCGTATTTCATTGGCTCGCCTTCGCTCGCGCTTGCTTCGTGCGGCAGCCTCTGCGTTGAGCCGCTCTAACTGTGGTGTATGATTAGTGCCATGTTATTATCACATAATGTATCAACTTGCCTCGTCCTGGATTTGCTGTTCTTCATCGACCTCCTCTGTTACTTCAACGGCTTCTGTTATCTCCTCGGTATCCTTAGTCCTTACGTCTATACCAAGCTACTGAAACATGAGGCAAAGAAAATCAAGCTCAAGCAAGGCAACTCACTTCTTTCGCAGAGCTGATCTCCATTTTAACAAAGCCTTGAAGTCACCCTTGCCTAAAACCTTGAGGTCATCCAGATTCAATTTGACATCCGCGGTAGTAATGGGCAAGTCCAACCACCTAGGAAGAGAGGTCAATATCACGTTGCCATAACGGAAGCGGAACTTACGTTTTCTCTTCCTCAGTATCGAATATAATTTTGTTTACGGATCCGAGTACGGAAATAGGATCTGTACTGTTCACGAATTCCGAGACAGGACATGCTTTGAACAACGTATAATCTCCGTCAGCATAACCATCTCGTTTCCGTCGCTTCTTTTCCGGTTGGAAGACATTGGCTTGGGCATGGCTATTGATAACGCCCTTGTCAACACCTTCGGATACCGATGCAGCTAGGTCCTTGAAGACGTGTTGGGGTCAAGGAATTTGGGGTCGATGTGTTTAGGTGCATAAAATCCCCTGCATACGACGAAAATTTCTGCTGATAACGTTCCGTTGCACGTCCTTTCAACTGCATGTACAATTGTGATAATGGCTGCAACGCACCTGGATGAAGGAGGTTTCGTCGCTTCAACTTTTCCAAACAACTGATTGAACACCCAAATGAGGTTGTTGTAGTCCGCACTGCGGTAAAACCCTTGGTCACAAACGTTCCACCTTTTATCAAGAATTCCACAGCTAGTTTTCAAACTCATTAGGACGAGTTCAGATTGACTGTAGGCATCTTGAATCCCACGCAGTTCCGACATTGGGGGCACCATCATGGAGAACGACATCGGCTTTCCAGTCCTTCAGCTCTCCTCGAAGGAGGTTTCGACATTGAGGTGTAGTGATATCCGAAGCAAATGTCACCACTCGGGGAATTGGCCTTGATTGGCACAAGGTCGACACCTGGATTCAAGTTAGGCGTCGTCAGTTGAGCAGATGTATTTAAGATACTCGCCAACAATAACGCTATTAATGGGCATATATTTACTAGCAACTTGAAGCCATCCTCCAGGTGCAGCGCAGAGATCGATACAACATCTTGCTGACTCTAGAAAGGCGTACTTTTTGTTGAGTTGAATAAGTTTGAACGCCGAACGTGCTCGGTATCCCTGCTCCCTTTGGAAGATACTTGAGGATACGATAACAAGTGGAAAGAAAATGCTTACTTTGCAAGTTTGTAGTATTTGTCCAAGCGACCCTTGCCCGTTTTCTTTTGGGCCTTCCCCATGGTGCGAAGAGTAAGTGGACAAGAAAAAAGATGTCCCTCGGCCCGGTGACTCCGGCGGCAAACACGGCACAATAAGCCAGTAAGTTTGCAACATGACTTTCTTCTGCTTCCAAGCCCTGTCGCATGTCACAATCAGAACCACTATTGCCAAGGCGCAATATGAGAACTTTTCCTGGTCCCGGACTGTTGTGGAGGACTGGTGCTATCTTCGGTCAGTTTCTTTTATTCTCTACGATTCTGTGTTGAAGGACGAGTTCGGACTGACATGTAATGCCGTCTAGTTACGGCGGGCGTCATTGCTGGCGCTTTCGGGGCGCATAGCTTGCGGGGTAGACCCGGTATGACTCCCGACAAGATTGCTGCTTTCAAGACTGCGTCCGAATATGCTGTGAGTTGCACTGTTCACTGCCGGTTGCATAGAAAGCGCTCGTAACCTCTCACTCCAGGTTTTCAACGGCCTCGCATTGCTACTGGTGTCTATGCATCCTCGATTTGCATTCCATCCCTTTGCTGGACCTGCAATCGCTGCAGGAGGGCTTTTGTTTTCAGGATCAATATTCGCACTGACCCTGAACAGCAAATTGAAGCCTTTGGGTCCCGTAACGCCACTAGGCGGAGTTTGCCTCATTGCAGGGTAAGTCATTGTATTGAATATACGCGCCATTCTGGTCCTAATGAGGAGAGTACAGATATCTCTCTCTTGCCATTTGATAAATCTCATAAACTGGTCCGTGTTGACTGCGTAGCATATTCATACAGCTTTATTTTTTGGTTGGCTCGACAGTCCGTGTAAGTCGAGCATCGTGCAAAGATCACGGGAATGCACCTGGAGAAATTGCGTGTGTTGACCTCTACAGTTATTTACCGGTCATTGGAACGCCGAAAAATATTTTTTGTCCCATCCACCACACATCGTCTTTTTCCTCAAATAAAGTAGCCACAAAATTTTTAATATTACTCAGTGATGTCAATACAAAGTATGAACTGAATCAAAGCATCTAGTATTGAGATATTCTTAATTTACAGTGTTTCATTGACTGGTAAATGACCACGTGGTAAACCCCTGCCAAATTTGCATCACTGTTCGATTTTTCACGGGGTCAGCAGTAGCGCTAAAATTCCCAAAAAATCACTAAAAATCCATAACATCTATGTCTCCGATTATACAACACTGTCAGGCAGCGGAACTGGGGAGAAGGAGGCTAAATCAACTGTTTCAGTGACTGATGGTGTTGCAATGACCTGTCAATAACTGTACTTAGTGACTCAGACTTGTGCATTTTCATTGATCATGACACAATACTTTTATGAAAGCCAAAGAAAGCAAAGTAGGCACAGCAAATCAAGACAAAGCATTAAAGTGTACTACCCAGACTTTCAGAAAGTCGTTTCGTCATACTTATTCTTTTACAGAAATCCTGCAACGTGTAATTTAAATTTCGAAGCGCGTGAAGTGATCACATGACTTACGCGTCGTGAAACTCCGCTGTCACTTGTCACAGTACACTGCTGTAAACAACGAAATTTGCACCTTGACCTCCACCTTCCTCCCCCTCTCTTCACTTTTTGGATACTGCAGCTCGCGCTCCCGCTCTTTTCTCGTCATTCAGCTATTCCAGCCCTCGCCTCTCAGAGGGCAGTGTCCTTTATAGTATCTTAGGTACGCGTCTTACCCTGCTGTCCTGGCAACTATGTGGCCTCATTAAGGATCTTCTTGCAGCCAGTATGGATTCAGTGTCCACCACACAAACTACCGCAGTGGAGGCCCGTCCTTCTTTCGTGCCATCTCTGTCATTTTCAGGGTCTTCGTCGACCGCGTCAGTCTCAAGACCATTAAAACGGCACTTAACATCAGACCTCGACTTCCTCGCTCCTGCAGCGGCAACCTTCAAACCACACCCTTACTCTCCAGCCAATCTGACAAATTCTAATCTTATTGGCTCTCGCAATCGGTACTTACACAGTACGCGTCAGCAAAACCGCGCCTCCGCTACTTCGCTCCCTCTCACTCTTGATGTCTCCGAGAAAGATCCTGATGCCGTATTCATTCGCCCGCCTTTTGACTCCTTCCCAGGTGCAGATACGTTTCCGGAAGGCCTCACTTACACTTTGATGGCTGACCATCCCGACTGGTTCCTTGACCCCAAAGACTACCTGCCTCTAGAGGGACCCGCTTTCAAACCAGACGCTATTCCTTACCCTCCATACTTGGAGCCACCTCGAGGGTGGTGTCCAGCCAAGAAGAGAGACCTGAAGGATAAAGGACCTGATGGTTGGGCTGAAGGCGAAGAGCCGCGTCTTCGTTGCACTTTCTGCAGGCGACACTATGCTGGTGTAAACGCCAAGAGTATGTGGAGGAGGCACGTTTTTGAAAAGCACAAAGTCGCCATGTCAAATCGCCGTGAAGGGTGTGAGCGTCCCCGTGGACGAGGCTCTACTAGTAGGTTTCTAGCACCACTTTTTTCCTGGTATCTCATTGCAGTTTATAGAGGAAAACAGGCAACCAGGATCCCTTAAAGAAAAAACCCTCGATAACGTTATTGGCATGGAAGTTGCCCCTCAGACAAGTACGCGCAATACTACACATAAGTCTAAATTCCATTCTCTGCCGCCTGTGTTGCGCAGCCAGAAAGACGCGCCGATTCTCTCATCAGCTGACAATGCCACTACCTCACGGCCCTCTCGTTCACCACCGTCGACGCCTCCCCCACTGCCGTCATCTGATGCGTTGGAAACAACTTGTTTATCGCCTTGTCCCGCACCTTATCCGTCGTCTCCTTATGATCCCTCCTTGACACCCTCATTCCGTCATTGCTCTCCTAGCCCGCCCTCTGAGCACCCTTGGAGATATCCCAGTCCTAGCCATCCTCTGTATTCACGACAGTGCGAAATATCCCTGAGCGATCTACGCTCTCCAATTGCCAAGAAAGGCATCCAGAATGGTGCCAGTCCTAAGACTGGTACACCGGAAGCATCACTGCGTAAATTTGGTCCCCTTGTAGCTCAGGCTTTGGACTCTGGTCCTTCTCTGCCGCTATCTTCCCCTTCCTCTCTGAAGGGGCTAAATTCGCCATTGACTGGTTCGGCGAGGCCCTGGCGCCCCCCCGTTCCAATCAAATTCTCCCCTTGCATTGAGCACCCACCTGACACAGCACCACAACTTAACCATCTCCGCAGAGGACTGGTTTCCAAGGTTCGAAGACTCGCTGATATCAACAATTGAGTCGCCAGCAGAAACATCAATCGAGTTCACTGGCGAAAGCCCAATATTAAGAAGTCGAACACTTCCCCAACATGCAGGAATAGGTTTGTTGGACCCTTTCACATTTCTCAGCGATCCTTCGCATGGAGAGGATGATGATGAAGCCGAAGTGGAGGAGGCGCTCATCGCGGCCAGTCAGTCCCCGGCGGAAAACAACTCCAGGGACCCATCTCCGCCTTTCAAAAGAAGAAAGCTTGTTGATGTTTTTGGATGAAGGTAGTTGGTTTCCCGAACCTCTTTTGTTTTGATCTTCTGCTATCCATGTTATCCCGCGTCTACTCTAATATCTCTCAAATATTGTTCCTTTTCTGTTGTCGTTTTCCATGTCTTTCAGCCTATTTATTACCTTTGATCTGTTGCCAGTGCCATGGTACTGCAGGCTGTCCATATGCATGAACCATTACTTGTACGTACTTTCTGCGTCTAGCTGTACCGCTATCATGTAACTATACTGTAATTATGGAATTGTCTGTAAGATAGAACAACACTACAATGAGCGGGTGAAATGCTAAACCGACAGGGTAACTGTGTCAGCTTGCACGAATCTTCAAGCTTCGTGCTTCAACTTTCAAGTCTGAAGAGCGGACGCGTCGACCAATAGAGTGCGGCGGCAGCATCAAAGCTGTATTAACGCCGTCGCATGCCGAACCATCGCACACCACCATGACTCTATCAACGCAACCGTTGTCATGCAAACATTTCGCTGAGACCGATGAGCCGGAATGATTGCCCATTTCTTTATCAATCTCCACCATCTGTTCGCTCCTTGTAAGGCGCAGAGGAGGGGTTTTCAAGGGCACTTTTTGCCCGTTTTCTATCACACGGACCTTTCTTTTACTGCGAGAGATCGTAGCTGCTGGTCCTGGCTGCCATTCCTTTCGCCTTTTCCTTTCGTTTCTTCTAGCTTGAGGCCTCGGGCTAGGCTTGTTTCCAAAAACCCTTCGTCCAAGCTGGAATTTATCAAACTCTTCGACCTTCTTTTTTCGGCGACCACTTGATTGTGGTTAAGCATTTCTTCTTTACATTGTTAACTTCTATAATCCTAGCGGCGTTGCGGATCTGTACACCTTCTCAGCACGCTCAACGGATCAGGATGCCAACAACGATTGTTGCATCTTTGTCTCTGAGCGATGACACCGCAGTAAGTTGTGCCTTCCTAGGTTACGGTGCCGCGCTCAGCCAACTTGGATTTCTTATAGGTGGAGTCAGTTTTAGCAGACATCCCATTCTTCTGCGTAGGAATTCTGGCGTTTGGTATTTCGACTTTCTTTCTCGTAATGAAGCAAGTGAATTTGTAGGTTCTCAGAATATCACATGTATCATTTACTCACGCTTGATTCTAATTAGACCTTCACTGTACCTTTATCTGTCGGCTCTGTCGGCCTTTGCAGCTTCTATCTTTGATTTAAGTCAACTTCTCGCGAGGGGCAGTTATAACGTCGTCCGAGGCTATGATGCAGACTCGGTTCGAGGTCTTATCAATACCAGAGAAGTCAGTCTCGCACTGTCAATTGGCCTTCGTTTCATATTCTTTTGGACATTCGTCGCTGAACGTCCTCGGGGTGAACCGCCCCCCATTCCTCAAGAAGATCGCAAGACCAAATATGAACCTCGATATCACGCCCACAGCGCCAGTTGGCAGCGTTGGGGATATCTTGGTTTCATTCTCAAGTGGGGCCTTTTGGCACTCACGGTGGCCATCCCTACCATGCAGATCATCTGGAGGATAGCTCAGCGTCAATTTGGGCTGATATACACCGTCGAATCCACCATGGAGATCGTGGCCTCCTCGTTATTCATTCTCAAACTTTTCCTCAACATCTTTCTCTCCCCTCTCAGTCCATGGTGGCTACGGTTTCTCTCTTACCTGGGTCCCATTGCCGCTCTGTTGATAAGTCTCGGGATAGGTATCGGACAATTAGTACTTTGTGCGTTCTCTATTCAGTACTAGTCTAGTATCGTTACTTATCACGTTTGTAGTCGCTTTCTCGGAAACCACTCTTGGTCGATTTCTCCAAGCTATAGAGTTATACATCTTAATTGTATTCCTCCTAATGGACGCTTTCTACATAACGCCAGAAATGCGCCGATATCAAGTACGGAAGGCACAGGTCTCCTCATTCAATGGTCTGGGTGGATTCAGAAGCTCTGAGAGTCTACCCAGGCAGACTCTCAGCGCTGAGACGATTGATCATAATGACATCCGTGAATCTACACGGACTACCAGAGAGTCAGTCGTTTTATCGGGACCTAGTTCCAGCGTGCATGCCCCCTTGTTTTTGTGGGATAGGAACGACCCAGAGCTAGGTGGTTCTTCTGGCCGGCGACACAGTTCCGCCAAGGAGATGGTCTATCCCACTTCTGATTCGCGGACGAGCCCGCAGTCGCCACAAATTCAGTCAGGTACCGAAGATGCGCCACTTCCCCTGCCCGTGCCTCTCGAAGAGCTCACTCCGACAATTAAAAGCGACTTGCCTCCTCTGCGACCCAAGACTGGTGTCTCTTTCTCTTCGTATTATCCGGAAGATCACAGTTCATCTTTACCCACCCCAAAACCCAATTTCGTTTCGGAAGTCTCTGGCTCTGGCCCTGATTCCCCGATATATGGGCTGAATGGTATCATTAGGGCTATTGGAGACAACTCGCCGACTGGAAACAAAAGTGAATCGCTGAATTCTCGCAGCTCAACATCTTTCGACGAACTCCTACGTCAGCAAAGCGAGCTCGATCAAAGTATTGCTGCGCTTCGTCTGTTCTCTCCCGAGGCTTCAACCGCAACCTTTTTGGATGCAAAGGATGTGGCTGCCCCAGACGCGCCAGCCAAATCGACATCGATGGCTCCCACAGCGAGCACGGGTACCAATTCATATATCAAGGTGGATTCTTCTTCAGTACCAAGTGAATTTTCCTTGAGCATCTTTCCTGAACCTCCAACGAATGGC